AAGAAAAACAATTGACTTGTTTATTGGATTTGAACTAATCATATGCTTGTGTTAAATTTTAAATCAATTCTTAGACTTATCAAAAAGTTAAGCAGTTTTTTTTCTATACAATTGAATGCATGTAATTATAAATAAAAATTACTCAAAATCATTTTTTATCTACATTCAAACGAGCCTCCTTGTTGTTCACTGATTGAAAAAATTCCACAGAGTTCTGCAATAGAAATATTTTCTCTTGTATCTGAAATAAGCCTAAAAAAAACATTTTAATGTATTCAATCATAATCCCCAATATACATTATTATTCACATAGTGTGTTTATTAACTTTATTAAAACTAGTTTCGTTTTTATTTTTAATAATTATATAATTAGATATTGTTTTTCTAATTCGATGTCATGTCACTACCAGTACTTAATAATATTTAAATTTCATGATTAAATAATTAATTTAAAAATACTATTTAAATATGGGCTTTAATTGCATTTGTTGTAATAGAATAGTATTAGTTCATTAGTATTAAGCCAATGAAGCTTAATTAATACTAATACCGGTAGGTCTCAGATTTTTATTATTTTAATTAAAAAGCAAGTTCCCATCAATTTAATATTCATAATTTCAATTTATTTGTATCATCTTATCCATTTCTATGAATTTTAAAACTAACTTTTACTACCGTATATACTCGCATATAAGCCTACATCGCATATAAGCAGACCCCCTAACAACTGCTTTAAAATGGCCAGTTTTTGCAAAAACCTGCATATAAGCTGACCATACAATTGTCTAATTTATTCTCCACATTTTTAGTTCATAGAAATTTGTTGGTTTGCTATTCCCCTATAAGCCATGTGACCCTCGTACCCTTCCCACGCCCTGCGCTGCCTACCAACTGGCTGCCTTTGTTTCCCCTCTTCGTGCCTTAGCATGTGATTTTAGGGGATTCCCTCACGACCGCCTTCGTTTGAGCGTGTTATTTCTAAGAAATCAGATCATGTACCGATGACGTTGGCTTAACCGCTAGATCTAGCTTGGTTACGGCTGGCCACTGGTGCACACACAACCACGCAGTCGTGTCACTCTCACTTTATTCTATGCATTTGCGTATAGAGTAATAGTTAGGAAACCAAAGATATAGGAAACATTTTCTGTTTATTTTAGTATTTTTTCTTAAGTTTATGCCATTTTTTGCTTCGAAAATGAATTCTCCATGACAATATTCATACTCAGTATAATTATCAGCTATGCATTCATTAAATTCTTTGACGTGACACCTCTGTATATATATATATTAGTACTCTGTACACACAAACAAATAAAAAGTCAGATAGCGATGAAAATGTGTGGCTTGAAAATTGGCATTAGTGTCTGTCCTTGTGTCCATTTTGTTTTATGCCAATATAAGCCGACCCCCTGATTTCATTATTGTATTTTATAGTTCTAAATTCGGTTTATATGCGAGTATATATGGTAATTTACTAAGATTTATTCAGATGTTTAAAGATTACAAAAGTATTAAATTATTATTGAATGTTATTTAGAGCCGCTTCCATCATCCCGGTGAAGACAAAAAAATTTTTTTTTTTCTTTCCGGTGATGGGTTGTTGATCTTACATGTGGAGAGCGATAACATTCAATGAAACGGGGTAAATTGACAATTTTAAAGTTATTATTATTAGCAATCCAAATTAGATGGTGAAAATGAGCTTTTAGGTTTTAATCATATGAATGCTCCAAATAAGTATTTAAGACATTTTCAACTTACCGATAGTCGAAAAGAGACACAGAAAAAAAACAGGGGTTCCCCTTGTTGGGTAAATTGTATGAGCGTCACCATAAGACAAATTTAATGTAATCGATAACAAAACAAATGTATAATTAGAAAACTGTGATGTAGAACGCAAAAATCCGAGTACACCACATAGCCAATTGTGAAATGGCCACAAAAGTTTTTCAGTGATTTTTAGACGGCGCAGAAGGGATGCGCATGCGTCTTTGAAAATACCTAGTTAACTTGTTTTCAAATGAGTTATTATTGAATAATTTACTGCATTTCCAGTGCATATAAAGTCATTTACTTCAAAAAAGTCCATTATCGATAATATTTTGGGACACATGTAACAAACAATTTGAACAAAGATATCTTACCAATGCACTGGTCCTAACCTCACGAATTTTGGATATGTTGTAATTTATAAATTCATCTAAAAGTTGTATTTTTTTTTTAAAATCCTATGTTCCCCACAAGAAAATATGATGAATGAGTGAATTTAGCTTTTATTTACCTTCAATTTTCAGAGTCAAACCATCAAATTTTTTCTAAAAGAACAGTGTTACATGAACAACAAACATGTCTTCTTTAAGCAGTTTAAGTTGAGGGCGGAATTAGAATTTACGAAAAATACTAACATCTGCAAAAAAATCCAGAACAACGCTACCCTCGATAAATTAAAAAGTGGAGGTCTCAATTTTTACAATGAAATTACGATACCTGTTTTTCTGGTATTTCCGGGCCACACCGAAGACCCTAATTCTTATACTATATTAACTCTTCTGTCTTCTACCAGTTCAGTAGTAACAAGTATGTAGACTAGTAGTTATGTAGAGGACTGACACTACAGTCCCATTCACTACTATTTCAAGTCGTCAAGTTACAGCACTTAGCCTACAGTTAATCCTGCTGGGGAACAGGATCCCTCCTGGAACGTTATTAAAGACACAAACACTACTTGAAAGTTCAAATTCAACAATTATTGTTAACTTTGAACTTTCAAGTAAGTTTAGTTATTAGTGTCTAAGTCTAATTCAAGAGTTTCTTCCTCAATTCCACATTTCTTTATTATTTTTTTTTACTTTACTGTAACATTGGTTGGCTATCTTATATTAAAATAACTACTTACTGAAGCATACGATCCTTGTGGGTATGAGGGTCTCATTGTTGGTCCTTGATTAGGATATCGAGGGGGCCCGGCCTGCATTTTCTGTCAAATCGTCTTTGTTAAAATTAACAAAATCTAGCGGCCATAACGGAAGTACTTTAAAAGAATCAGTGTTAACTCCGTTACTATTTTATGTATGAAGGGACAATTTTATTTATATACGACATTTAAAAATAATGAAACAGTTACAAAATAAATATTTGTAAATATATGTTGTTATCACTAGATGATGGTAATATTCTAATAAAATAATCGTACACATGTAAATTATATGAATGTTGTCATCACAAGATACTGGTAAATATGGTGTTATCAGTAGATGATGGTAAACATCTTAAAGAATAAACCTACACATGTAAGCATATAGTGTTATCAGTTGAAGATGGTAATCACCATATTGAAGAAACGAACAAATGAAAATATATTTTGTTTACACTTGTTGATCATTGCATGAGTTCCTATATAAAACCATCATAGTGCCATTACTTTAGATCCTATATGAAACCATCATAGTGCCATTACTTTAGCTACTATTTAAAAACCATCATAGAGCTAGTACATTAAATTCTATATCAAATCTGCTTGTGCCGCTACATCAACTCAAATTTGAAACGAGATCACTTTCATTAAATTAGCTCCTATAATAAATCATCATCGCACAATTACATTAACCCCTATATTAAACCTGCTAAGTGCTACTACATTAACTCACATTTAAAACGAGATTACTGTCGTTAGGTGTCAATTTAAATATTCAGGCTTGGATACTGAACTTTTTAACAAATCCACCACAGTATGTCAAAGTAAATAACCAATTATCTCTAAACAGCGAAATGAGCACCGGGGCACCACAAGTCTGCGTTCTCTCTCATGTACTGTGTACAATATATACCAGTGATATTCAAAGCTCAAGCGACACCATTCCAATCTTAAAATTTGCTGATGATACCACCATTGTTAGCTTAATATCTGAAAGAGAAGGCCTATACGGCAACTTAGTTACAAGCTTTATCAATTGGTGCGATGGAAATTTTCTCCAGTTGAATGTCTCAAAAACAAAGCAAATGGTTATTGATTTCAGGAGGGGGAAACAGGAGATTACACATCTCAACATAAAAAAATCAAAGTGTAGAGAAAGTGGAGGCATACAAGTACGTAGGTGTCACCATTAATAATAAGCTAACATGTCATGAGCACGGCCAAATGCTGTATAAGAAATTCAACCAAAGGCTGTTCTACCACAAAAAACTGTACAAATTCGGCGTATACAAGCAAGACGTTAACTTATTCTACAGTGCAACAATTGGAAGCAGCTTAATTTTAGTATTACCTGCTGGTGTGGGATTCAAAGTCTGATATTAAATACCGCATAAACCGGCTAATCAAGAAAGCTAGGAACATAACAGAAACTAAACATCCTTCACTTGAAGAACTATTTGAAGAAATATGTTTTTGTAAAACTAAACACATTTTGGATTATACATCCCACCCTCTTCATCACAAATACTTAGGATCGGGCCGTTCGGGACGAATTCTTTCCATCAGGGCGAGGACTGAAAGATATACAAATTCTTATGTTCCCCAATCTGCACGAATTTACCGGCATGCTTTTTCTGAAGTCATACATCTTAATGAGAACTAATAAGTGCCTGATTTGGCTAAGAGAACTCACTGAATGGCTGTTTGGAATAATTTATTATAAATGTCTTGTGTTCAAATTGTTTTATTTATGTGCTGAAAATGTATAATGCAATTTTTTTTTTTAATTCCATTTATATGGATCAATAAACGAATCTTACCTTATTATGCTCTCTGTTGTTTGCTACTCTACAGTTACTACTGTGAGAATGTTCGTAACTATTCAGTTGAAATACCTTATAAATATGTCCTTTTCAGATTTCCATATTATATTTAGACAATTTCTTAGTTACTTTTAATGGACCTTCTGAGTGTATTGCTATTTTATTTCCATTCCCGTGGTCGAGGAGGAGCCATTCCATTTGCGTAAATATTTCATATCAAAGGTACTTAACTTAATAGAGCCATATAACCTTAACGATGATTTAATTGTGGTAAAGTTATGAGTATTAAATGGGAGGAATACATTTGCCTACTTCAAGTTGAATGCATAGAAGGTTATGAACTTGATTCAATTGATGCCTTAGGGTTGAAGCGCTACTTCAGCCGCCGTATGCTTTTATCTCATGTTGAACTGATCGACGAACGTCTTAAGACTGCTCCACTTGAGAAGCATGATGCCAAATGGCGCTTTTCTCTTTCCAAACCATATGTATGTGTCATAAGCCAACTGTTTGAACCTTTGTGTATGTAAGGGAAAGTAATCAACATGAGATGGACCCAGGAACGTCATTTCAGGTTGTTGTTTTTTTAAAGGGGGCAAAACGAAAACATGATTGGCTTGTTGAGTTGTTTTTTACTGGAGGCCCCACACAGTACATGGCAATTTAAATAAAACCTGAACATTCAGCGTAGGGGGCATATGCCCCCTCTGCCCTACCCAAATGACGTAATGTATGGTGCATTGTTCACCTCCCAAGCGTATGGGAGTGGATATGTGTATTATTTTATTGTTAATTGGTATATGTATCTTTGATATTCACATAACAATTGATATGTGCTTTTGCCCAGCTAATTGGTTTATATTTGTATTATTTCCATGCTAATAGGAGCGGCACCTGAAAGAATGAGCGGCACCGACATCACAGGGACGGAACGATTGCACCAGTTTGAAGCGGCACAGACGAAGGGGTATATATGTTTATTTGATACATGTTAATTGGTTGATTTAATATGTGTCTTTATATTTGCTAATTGGTACGTGTGTGTGGAGATTTCCCAAGCGTATGGGAGTGTATATGTGTATTATTTTCTTGTTAATTGGTATATTTTTCTTTGATGTTCACATAACAATTGATATGTGTTATTTCCCAGCTAATTGGTTTATGTTTTTGTTATTTCCATGCTAATAGGAGCGGCACCTGGAAGAATGAGCGGCACCAGACATCACAGGGACGGAATGATGGCACCAGGGATAAGCGGCACAGACGAAGGGGTATATATGTTTATTTTATACATGTTAATGTGTCTGTTTTAATTAACTCTACTTAACTTACTGGAATCGAGTTTAGAAACAACAGACATGATATTGGAACCAACCCAGAGTGGTAAAAGTAGGCGACAACCACGGGGAGCAGGGTTTCTTTCAAACAATTTCTCCCCGGGGGGCACTTTAGCTTTTCGGTGGCAGTGCCAGTGGAAAGTGGCGTAGCTAAGGTGGTCATAGGGGAAATATGTCCCCGGTCACCAGATTACCGGGGTCAGCTAATGGGCTATACGGTTTTAGTGTTAATGGATGAAAATAATGGGTTTCAGATTTTAGCGGAGAGAGTAAAAATTAATCTTGTCACCAAAGACTCTCGCCAGTGACGTAGAAAAGGGGGAGGGGGGCATATATTTGGTCTTCCCATTTTTCCTTTAGATTGAGCTGCGGGATTTTCGGACATCTGCAGAGTTTCTATCGAGAAAGGTAGCGCGGCAAAACAGTTAACCTACCTATAGGGGCGCTAAAACCAGGCACGCCGCTGGGCAGTGTATATATCAGCACCAAAATTGGTTGTCGGGGCAAGCAATGCTGCCATTTTTATCGGGAAGTGGGGCAGAAATCGAGCATCCCGGTGGCTTTTCCTAACCAGAAAGTTTGTGATTATTTAACAATCAAATAGGTGCATTAATGGAGTATACATGATATACTCCAAAATACTATTATTATTATTGATCAGGGAAATAATTTTTCAAGCGGCGGTGGAGGCATTATGGCGCCCAGTGCCATACATAAACTTAATTCAATCTGGTTGTTGTGCGCCCAAGATAATCATCTGAAACAAGATTAGATTTAACCCCGTTAAGTCACATTGATCGACATCAAGGAAGGAAGTAGCATAAATTGAGGAATCAGAAGAGTCTTGAGCAAAAGCGGGGGCAGGTGTCCCCTTTAATTTAAAAATAATAAATTCAGTGATGGATTGTGGTGCAAATTCAATGTACATTTCAGACAATGTGTGAAGGGGAATTTCAGACTTTCATTTGTTTACTATTAGATGTATCGTGGAGAAATGCTAAGAATACAACATCAACATACACCAACTATATGTGGACTACAAATCAACGTATGATAGCATAAACAGGAAATACCTGTACGATGCTGTCCTTGAACTTGGAGTCCCAAACAAACTTATCCGAATCATACATATGAAGAAGGATAACTCCAAAAGTAGAATCAAAGTACAGAGAGAGTACTCGATGGAGTTCCCAATTAATCAGGGCCTCAGACGAGAAAATCATGCATCCATTTCAACATCACGTTAGAAAAATGCATTAGAAACATACGGCTGAGCACCAGAGAGGTAGTACAGAACAACCATCAAGAACTTCATAAAGCCAGCCACTGCAATACCTGCCATACACAGACGATATAGCGCTACTTGGTAGAAACAGCAATGATAAAATTAAAGCGTTCAGGGAACTTGAAGATGTCACGGTCAAAGCTGATCTTGATGTAAATAAAGCGAAGGCAATTTATATGATAATTTCAGGAAAAACGCATACTGATGACAACATCAATATGAACAACCACATCTTTGAGAGATTAGCTTCTTTCAAATATCTAGGGGTGACTATAAATAAGCAAAAGGAAATACATTTGGAGGAGAAAGAAAGGAAAACAACATGCAACCGTTCTTATTTCAACTTACAAAAGGCTACTACGAAGCAAAAACCTCTCTAAGGAAACAAAGAAGCAATATGCACCACTATCATAAGACCAGTAGTAACTTAAGCAATTGAGACTTAGTTCCTACCAGAAAAGCAGAGAACCTGCTCAATATATGACCCGATTATAGACAATTTTGTTTAGGGAATCCGTACAAACCAAAAGCAATATTAATTGTACAAATACCCATCCATAGTCCCAACAATAAAAAAGGCAGACGGGACACATTGAAAGGATGCAGGAAAAACGATCTACATGCAGAAACCTTGGGGCAGACGGCTCACCTGTCGACCAAGACTGAGATGGATTGACGATGTAGAGAAGGACTTACAAGGGTTGGGGATTCGTGCATGGAGGCGGAAAGCGATGGATCGATCCAAATCGAAGAATGTGGTGGAGCAGGCCAGGGCCCTACATGGGATTAAGCGCCACTGATGAAGGCATTTCAGACTTGTGGGTGGGAAGCGCTAGAAATAGCCTTAATAAAAGGACATCACTAACTCTTCCAGCAGACCAAAATTAAGTAAATTCATTCCAGTTAGAAGCCCTTAGGATATAATTTTTGGGTCGAGAGATACTCCCCTATAGCTTAGTCTCGCCCTTTAAAACTTTATAGGCCCCGAAACGTTTTGATAATTCAAAATGCAAGAAAGCTTTTTTGTACATAGTTAAATATAGTTTTGCACAAATATACACTTGACTGGAGAGCAACGGGAGAGAAACTATTTAAGAGTTTATGTTTCACTTGACCTCGGAGCCATCGTGAGAGGTATGCAACCCGTATAGGTGCATGGGGCCTCGTAGATTTTAGGGCAGGGGTCGGTGACCTATGGCTCTATTGATGGCTACATCTGGCTCGCAGACAAATGTTCAATTATAAAAAAAAATTCGCATTAATGGTAAGAAATACTTATTATTGATTAGCAACAGCATAACAATGTTATTAAAAAGAATTCAGAGACATAATTATTGCATTTTTAGTGTTGAAACTACACAAAATGCACACATTTTCTTGAATTTTTAGCTCTACAGAATTACTTTTCAAAATATGTGGTGTCCATGGCTCTCACAGACAAAAAGGTTCCCAACCCCTGTTATAGGGGCTTAAAGTTGTGATCTAATTACTTTAAATTATCAACTTTATTGCTAGGAAAACACCGAAAAGTAGCAGGGGTGCCACAAAAGGTCAAGCGACGTCTCTGTAGCAGGGGTGCCACAAAAGGTCAAACGACGTCTCTGTAGCAGGGGTGCCACAAAAGGTCAAACGACGTCTCTGTAGCAGGGGTGCCACCAAAAGGTCAAGCGACGTCTCTGTAGCAGGGGTGCCACCAAAAGGTCAAGCGACGTCTCTGCTTGACTAGGTGCATTATACAAATATATATTTTTTATTTTATTGAAGAGTAATGTGTTTTTAAACTTTTTATTTAAAATATTTTGGGGCAAACTACATAAAAAAAATAATGGATTTACTATAAAATATTTTTAAATTTAAAAAAGAATTCCTTCCAAAAAAGGCATCCGTCACAAAAAAGAAATGCTAAAATAGTTTGACATTTTGAGCGAAAAGAAAAACCCAACCCATACGGCCATTCGCTTATTTCTAAATATTTCCAAGTTTTACCAAAATCAAAAGGGAAAAAAAAAATTTCTGCAGAAAGGGCGATACATTTTTATGGGTTTTCAAAATTGGTATTTATTTATTAGTAGTATGTAACCGACAAAATTGTTAGAAGACATGAGTTGTTTACAAAAGACATCATATATTTATTAATGTGTGATTTTTTTGTGAAGGAAATTGTATAAGAATAAAGTTTAAATTCTTAACATCCAGTTAATTGAAATGTTAATTTATTTCTTGAAACCACTATAGTTTGCTTCAGATCAATTACAACTTACCTCTTCGATATTATACTTTAAAACATTTTTTTTTTTTTACACTTCCATAGAATTTATTTTTTAACTACTACCAAACATAGCATTTACAAGATAGGACTCGAAAAACTAGATTTTCAAACAAAAAAAATGTTGTTTAAATATTTATGTATTCTTTCTACTGAATTATCATCTAAAAATGAATTTTAAAAAAAAATAGTTCAAAAGGCTGGGGAAGATTGTTTATTATTATCATATTAAACAGAGAAAAGTCGTTGGAGATTTAATGAATCAAGGCTAAGTATTTTTTAAAAAATAAATCATTTTACTCTGCTGTTCCCAAAACTGTGTTACAAAATTAGAAACGCACTCGATTTAATAATAATTATTACAGATGAAATGTCCACACTTTGTATGCAACCGGTAAACTCCTAATTTTTTGGTTTATATTATCGTGTTTTTTTTTTACTCTATTGTTTTCATTTTATCTAACTCAATATACATGGATAGAATTTACTACATTAAAATGTTAGCTAAAAGTGATTTAAAAGAAAAAAAAAGCATGGTGCTAATATAATTAACACTCATCTCTACTTTAACCG